CAGAACATAGAGTCATTGTCAAAAACAAGAAAGAACTCACACTGGGAAAAAGCCCTATATATGTAAGCAATGTGGGAAAGCCTTCAGCAGACAAGTAATTGTCAAAAACATGAAAGACTTCACACTGGGGAGAAGCCCTATATATGCAATCAATGTGGGAAAGCTTTCAGCACACTGGGTAATTGTCAGACACATGAAAGAACTCACACTGAGGAAAAACCCTATGTACGTAAACAATGTGGGAAAGCTTTCAGGACACATGGTAATTATCACATACATGAAAGAACTCACACAGGGGAGAAATCTTATGTTAAGCAGTGTAGTAAAGCTTTCAGCAGACACTGTACTTATCAAAAACATGAAAAAATTCACACTAGGTCAAATCCCTATGCAAGTAAGCAGTGTGGGAAAGCTTTCAACACACATGGAAATTGTCAAATACATGAAGGCCTCACACTGGGTAGAAATGTTGTATATGTAACTAAATGGCAGTACATTCAGTACACAGGGATATTGTCAAATACATGAAAGAAATTACACCAGAGAGGAACCCTGTGTACACAAGCAATATCGAAAAGTCTTTAGTCCAGGAATCTTCATGTACATTGAAAAAGTAAGACAGAAGTTGACTGTGAATATATAAAGTGATTATACTGACATGAAAAGACTCATAGTAGAGGCAAACCTTTTCTTTGTAAGCAATACAAAGTCTTTCAGTATAAACAGGAATCATTACATACGTAAAAATATTCATAGTAGAATTTGAACATATGTGAGCAGTGTGGGAAATGTTTAATTTTTCTCAATGCATTCAGATACATGAAAGAATTCACACACACATAAAAAAGAGTTCACATGGGAAAGGAGCCATATATATATAAGCAATATAGGAAACCCTTCGATTTTTTCACTTAACTTGAAATATGTGAAGGAACTCACACTAAAGAGAAACCTTAAGTTAGTAATGTGAGAGCATGTTGTGATTCCATTCTCTCAGAAAATGTGTGCAAACTCACAAGAAGCATCAGTATAAATACAGACTGAGAAGTCTTCTTTTTTTTTCTTCTTGGTACCAGGGATTGAACTCAGGACCTTGTATTTGTGAGACAGGCTCAGGCACAACTGAGCCAAATCTCTGGCCCAAAGTCTTTATTTTTACATGACTTTCCATGCAAACATGGAACTGCATAATGGAGAAACATATCAAGGTATATTTTATGGGGACACCTCTATACCCATTTTGGTGTTATTCATATTAGAAATGAACACAGCATTTTGAGAAACCATTAATATAAGGGGTATACATTGTTGTTCAGTTATCCTACATGTGAAATGCATTTTCGATCAGAACCCTGTGAACATACAAAGTTCCCAGTTATAACATATTTAAAACTCCTTTGAACATTTCTCATGTAGTGCAAACCTATACAGGTAAGTTATATGAAAATGAAATATGAATTATTTTTCCAGAAAATGCACAACTAGAGAAGATGCCCTAAAATATAAATAAACTCACTTTTTTTTTTGTATCGGGGATCGAACTCAGGACCTTGTGCTTGCAAAGCAGGAGACAGAAGCACTGAGCTAAATCCCCGGCCCAATAAACTCACTCTTTAAGTATATCTGGATTACATATTTCTAAGTTCACTTGTAAATGTATAATGTAAATGCTCATATAATTCTGTATGTTCTTATAAGCAATAGGGTGGGAATCTAATGCTATCTTTTCATTAGCTGATAAGTCATTATTTTGCACCATGCTAAATGCACAGGTGAATTGAAAGGTATTTCTTATATGCCCATAGGTTACTGTTTTTGTAGGTCATCTTTTATCTCCTCTGTTTTGTTGTTTTGTTTCTAAAAATTGTGGCATAATATGACCTGAAAATTGAATTTTTGCTAATTGTAATTTTACCAGTAGCCTTTATGTATTTAAAAACTTGATGCATATAGTCCATTTTGTAATTATAATGTATATTTTCAAAAAAAACTGAGAAGACTTAGATCATATGGCAAAGCAATGATAACTTTAACATATAAATTCTCTTTTTCAGTTCATTAAAATTTATCTCAAAGAGAAATAGGTGAAAGATATAGACAACAATTCATAAATTGAACCTGTAAAAGTCTAACATATGAAAATATTATGGGGTAAATGAATGTATAGTAACTGTATTGTTGGTTGAGAAAATGAAAACTAAAAATTTATTCATCTATGAAATTAGTCAGGTCTTTTTTTAAAAA